TTACACATAATTGTATGCATAAATTAGTTTATTCTTACATACTTGACAATGTAACAACAATACTTGATAACATAAACTATTTTACACATAATTGTATGCATAAATTAGTTTATTCTTACATACTTGACAATGTAACAACAATACTTGATAACATAAATTATTGTACACTTTATTGTACGCAAAAATTAGGTACACCTTATTGTACGCAAAAATTAGTTTATTTTTACATACTTGACAATGTAACAACAATACTTGATAACATAAATTATTGTACACTTTATTGTATACATAAATTAGTTTATTCTTACATACTTGACAATGTAACAACAATACTTGATAACATAAATTATTGTACACTTTATTGTATACATAAATTAGTTTATTCTTACATACTTGACAATGTAACAACAATACTTGATAACATAAATTATTGTACACTTTATTGTATACATAAATTAGTTTATTCTTACATACTTGACAATGTAACAACAATACTTGATAACATAAACTATTGTACACCTTATTGTACGCAAAAATTAGTTTATTTTTACATACTTGACAACGTAACAACAATACTTAACAACATAATTAATATAACCTAATATAACCTTCACATTATACTTGAGCTTCAAATGGAAATGTATTAAATACATTTTTTAGTAAGTGCGTCAAGAGTCAGACTCGTTAATGTCAAGGGGTTAGTTTAAGATGTAAGTAATTGAATATTCAAGGTTTCTATGTAAATAAATCTTTAAATATAATATTACAAAAAATTGTTATTGCAACTTAAATATTGCAAAATGAATTATTAACAAAAATTTGTATATAATTATATTTAGTCATTTGGTAAAACAAGTTCTACATTGTTTTACAAGTTCTACATTGATTGAATTTCGTTCATAATTGAATAAAATTATTATTATAAACTTGAATAAATAAAATTATTATCAGTTTAGTTTATGACGTACTATAACTAACAAATTGTACATAACAAATTGTTAAATAAACTTTTAAGAATAAAACTCGATCCAATAAAAATTATACTAGTTTCCTTAATAAAATAAACATAAACAATTATAAATAATAATAACTACAATCCAACTACCCCATATACAATAAATTATTTGAATCACCCTCAACAAGAAAAATGGACCTCTCCCAAGAAAGCAACATATATATTTTTATTTACTAAAATATTTTTATGACAATTGCAAGAATACATTTCTATTATTTTATTTATATATGTCGTAGACATATTGAAAATGTCAGTGTATACATACACAGTGCAAAAATGGTTTAGAACGCGACGGAAAAATTGGATGCATGCATTTTTTATCGAGAGAGTTTATTCAAGGTTGAGGAACGTTGCAGGAATAGAAAGTAGCGTGAGAATTTATTTTGGTCATTTAAAAAGTACCAAGAATATTTTTATTTAGTACTGTTTATTGAAAACTGAAACATAAGTTAAAGCAACGTGTAAAGAGATATAAGTTGTGTAGAAATAACGTGTCTTGTGTCAAGAATTTGTGGTATGAAAATTTTGAAACTTGGGAATTAGGGGATGTAGGAAATTTGAGGGTTTGAGAAATTGGAAATTTGAGGATTTAGGAAATTTGGGGGTTGAGAAGTTGGAAGGTTAGAAATTTAGGGGTTTGAGAAGTTGGATATTTGGAAATTTGGGGATTTAGGAAATTTGGGGGTTGAGAAGTTGGAAGGTTAGAAATTTAGGGGTTTGAGAAGTTGGAAATTTGGAAATTTGCACATTTGAGAATTTGGGAGTTTTGTAGTTTGAAAATTTAGGAATTTGGGGGTGTGGGAAATTTGGGGATTTGAGAAGTTGAAAATTTAGGAATTTGGGGGCGTGGGAAATTTGGGGATTTGAGAAGTCGAAAATTTGAGAGTTTGAGAGCTTTGGAATTTGGAAATTTAGAAATTTGAGATTGTGGGAAATTTGGGAATTTGAGAAGTTGAAAATTTAGGAATTTGGGGGCGTGGGAAATTTGGGGATTTGAGAAGTTGAAAATTTGGAAATTTGAAAGTTGGAAATTTGGGGGTTTGAGGAGTTCAATATTTAAAAATTTGGGAATTTGGAAATTTGACTTGTTGGAAATTCGAGAAGTTGGAAATTTGGAAATTCGAAAATCTACAAACTTGGAAATTTAAATACTCATAAATTCACAAACATATAAATTTGATACACCAAAACTTTAAACACAGAAAGCCTAAACATTTTAGATCACTAAATTTGAAACCTAAGTGGTCAAACCCACCCCAGTCCACTCACCCCTATCCAGTAACCTACTTCTAAACTTCGCCTCGCAAGCTCCAAAGCACGCCACATATTTTTCGAAGGGTATATTCATTTTACCCCGAAATGATGTACATGCACGCATCACGTAGCAAAAATATGTTTTACGATGCAAGCGGGGAACCAGTTAACGAGAATAGGACGCTCAGCGTAAGGGGTAGTCGATAGAGACGACCTGGCGAGAGTAATTAATGTCGATTAATCGAGTTAAGGAAGTTACCAGCTTGAAAGTTTGAAGAGACACGGTTCGTAGACTATCATACAACCATACAATTTCTTCTTCTCGAATTGGGTCAATGATTATTTGCAATATATCCAGCTTTCGTAATATTATGACATCTGTAATCAGGTATTCGTATAGGTAAACAGCCAGCGGTTTTCGTTGAACTTTGGCCAAGATTAAATTGCGGCGATATATTAAATTTCTTCGATCGATGTTTAATTAAGAATATTACTAATTTTTCTGTATTTGTGCAAGCAAATGAAGCTGTTTTTCGATAGAGGAAGCAAATTAAATATCGGTAAGAAAATAAGAGAAATATCTATCTGAATTATATTATATTATTTACATATATTTTCAATTTATAATTTTTTATAATTGTTTTTAAATTTGTAATTTATATTTTGTGTAAAGCAAATTTTATATCTTTCATAAAAATTCTCATTAAGTATTAATTTTGTATAACTTGCTGTGAAGTAATAATTTCAAATGTTGTACTTTAACCAACACTTTTATTACAAAATAAAGACAGTGTAAAATTATAACAATAAAAATGTATTATAATAATAATAAAATTATTGTATCTCATTTTATATACTGCATTAGAGTGAAAAAGAATTTGAAACTAGATTTGAAGTCTAAAGAATAAATACAGTGAGCGAACGTCCATCTTGAGTGCAAGAGTTAAACAAAATGGCGGACAGTAGCCATCGAGTTCATGAGATTAAATTGTACTGCAGGAGGTTATGATATTAATTATAGTTTTTAACGAAGGATAATTACCTAGATTTCTGTTTCCTGCAATGTGTGCTGATTTTTTTATTATTCTCCGATTCTTCGTTTGAAACAGACGTTAATTCGTGCTGAGAGGGAGGTCCAAGAGGATCTCCCTGTTTGCAAACAGCGACTACCCATCTTGTCCTTACTTAGTTCCTCTATTTCTCGTTAATCGATGAAATCTTTTGAAGAGGTCTGTATTGAGATAGTCTACGGTAAAAGGAACTAGTATTTCACTGGATATTCCAGTGATATTGCAAGTGTACATAAAATTAATACAAGTCTAAAAGACAAAAGTTTAAGCAAGACAAGATGCTCTTTAAAATATAATGAAATTTATTCTAATTTTTCAGTGAGTGATCTGAAAGTTATGAAGAGGGTATTCATAAAGCAAATTGTATTTGTAGAACCATACAATGGCTTCGTTCATGAACTACTAAATTCTGTGTATATCTTTCATCTTGATCTCAAAGTTATTCGAAACACAATAGAGCATTCAATTTTCAGCTTAAAGGACCAATGAAGATATCGCATTTTGTGGAAGCTCGAGCGAAACAGTAGACCTTGAAATGCGGGTGGATGAAGATGTCGTGTTTTTTTAATTATAAAAGAATGATAAAAAATAATTATAATTGTTTGGAGCTGTTCTTTGTTATTGAAAGCTACGTTGATAATGTTGGTAGGTGTTATTGATATGTATAGTGTAGACTGATTTGTCTACAATGATGAGTGTGTATATATTTATGAGGGGTGTAATGCTAACACTTATGGGAGTTAAGGAGTTCAATTGGAAAAATTGAAAATTTTATTTGATCATTTGAAAAAATACTTTACAAGTTCCTAAACTTCCACGTCTTCAAATTCCTGAATTTCTTAATTTCCAAATTTCTACGACCATAAATTCTCATATTCACAAATCCTCACATCCCCAAATTACCACATTTCCAAATTCCTACGTTCCCAAATCCTCACATCCCCAAATTCCTACGCCCCCAAATTCTCACATCCCCAAATTTCCACATCCCCCAAATTCCTACGTCTCCAAATCCTCACATTTCCAAATTCCCACATCCCCAAATTCCCACTTCTCCAAATTTCTACGCCCCCAAATTCTCACATCCCCAAATTTCCACATCCCCCAAATTCCTACGTCTCCAAATCCTCACATTTCCAAATTCCCACATCCCCAAATTCCCACATCCCCAAATTCCCACTTCTCCAAATTTCTACGCCCCCAAATTCTCACATCCCCAAATTCCCACGTCCCCAATTCCTCACATCCCCAAATTCCCACATTCCCCAAATTCCTACGTCTCCAAATCCTCACATTTCCAAATTTCCACATCCCCAAATTCCCACTTCTCCAAATTTCTACGCCCCCAAATTCTCACATCCCCAAATTCCCACGTCCCCAATTCCTCACATCCCCAAATTCCCACATCCCCCAAATTCCTACGTCTCCAAATTCCCACATCCCCAAATTCCTACGCCCCCAAATTCCCACATCCCCAAATCCTCACATCCCCAAATCCTCATATCTCCAAATTCTCACCTCCCCAAATCTCCCAATTGCCATCCCTTAAATTCCCAAATTCCCAAAATACCCAAAATTCCCAAACGTTCAACTTCCACCCTCCCAGCCCCTCAAATCAACAAACTCAAAAACTTGCCAAACAATAATCTAATAAATAATTATTGCTTCCATTCTCCTCCTACTTAAAGTTCATCAAAGATATATTTACTTCCGCATAAGCTACACAGGTACGAAAAACGTTCCAAAAAACCATGTCATTTCTACGCATCGGAATCGATTTACTTCCCGACAAACATGACGATAAACGAAAGATCCATTTCGCAGATCGAACGATACTTTCAATTCTCCTAATGCCAAGAAAGAACTCTTGGTATAATTCAGCGAGGGTAAAGCTTGGATGGTAGCTGATAGCGGTAAGTGATGGACATTGGTAATGTGCTGCATCTGCTTTGCCAAGAATCGAGAAGTAGCTGCTTCTCGAGCTTTTATTAAACACCCTCTTTGTTCCAACGAAGGAAATATAAAGGGAGAACGATTGTCTCATTGAGAAAAAAATTCAATTCTCTGGAGAAGACTGCACTTTTCGGAAACACTTTCGAGTGTAAAGACGTTTGACATTTATCGACACATTTTACTTCTTTTGTATATTTAAATATCACGTATCGACACAAAATTCGTGTTATAATTCAAATTTATTAGTACATTTTTATTTAGTCTAAGTAATTTTGAATAATTTATTTTGTTGACAATTTTGAATTATTTTAAATAGCATATTTTTTAAGTAGTTTGTCAAGACTTTTAGTAGTTTGTCTGTTAAAATTTGAACACTGTGATTGCAAATGGCTGACTTTGTACAATGATCAAACACTTTTTAATTTTTTAGTTACCTAGCAATTTGACAAGTATAATTATTTGCATAACACAAATGAAATTATAATATTGTCTTTATTTTGTATTAATTTTCATATATTTTATAACAACTATTCAATTAATGTACCACTTTCTACCCCTATAAATATTATCTTTGTATTTATGCATCAAAAAATACTTGCATAACAAAATTTATATACCTGCTAAAAATAAAATATACATACTTAAAAACGTTCATACTAAAATTAAAAAGAAGAATCTTTTAATAAAAAAATATATAAATATTTTTCTCTTAAAAAAGAACAGTCGAAGAACTTAATAATCCGCCAAAAATAATTTTACCAAAAATCTAAACCTAAAATTTTCAAAAAGAAACCCTAGTATTTCTCTAGACTTCTATCAATCCTTGTATCCATGGCGACGTTAAATTAAAAGACAGTAAAAGGCGACAAAAATCGTGTCTTTTCCCTGGTCAACCAATTTCACTTGTCCCAGAAACCCAGAGAACGCCCGCGAGCCGCGTGCGAATCGAACGCAAGTTGTGCAAGGGTGCAAGAGAAAAGAAAAAGCCTCGTTCATGAGATCTCGCAATCTCTTCTCCCGTTCATCGTCTTCGAACCACCCACGATTCGTAAGGTTCCAGTGACGTCACAAAGAATATACATTCAGCAACCGGCACACAGTTACGGTTAAATGGGGTGAGCCAACACTCCTCTTCAACCCCATGGAAAGTCTTATCCGACCAATGGGGAAACTTCGTACCACTGTGCGGCGACCAATCGCGAACAGATCGTCATTGAGAAGGACGAGTACGCGGAGGGGACCGAGGTCTTAAGAAGAGGCGAAGAGCAACGGTACCGGGACACTGTTGCTCGTGGTACTTCAAGGGATAAATTATAGTACTTACTACAGAAATTGTCACCGAGTTTATTTTTAACAGTTCGTGGTACTTCAAGGAATAAATTATAGTACTTACTACAGAAATTGTCATTGAGTTTATTTTTATTAGTTAGTGGTACTTCAAGGGATAATTTATAGTATTTACTACAGAAATTGTCATCGAGTTTATTTTTAATAGTTCGTGGTCCTTCAAGGGATAAATTATAGTATTTACTACAGAAATTGTCATCGAGTTTATTTTTATTAGTTAGTGGTACTTCAAGGGATAATTTATAGTATTTACTACAGAAATTGTCATCGAGTTTATTTTTAATAGTTCGTGGTCCTTCAAGGGATAAATTATAGTACTTACTACAGAAATTGTCATCGAGTTTATTTTTAACAGTTCGTGGTACTTCAAGGGATAAATTATAGTATTTACTACAGAAATTGTCATCGAGTTTATTTTTAACAGTTCGGAATAGAATTTATTAACAGTTCGGACGTCTGGTGTCCGTCTGGTTTTAGAAGAAGTTGAGAGTAGCAACACATTGGCAACGTCATGAGTGGATCCGGAAAAGGCCTTCTTGGGGTGTGGCTGTACAAGAGGGGTGAACATTGGGCTATCAAGGAAGGAAGTCCTATACACAAGTCGAGCGATGTGGGTTGATTTTTTTATTAGTGCAAAGTGTAGTAAGGAAAGGATCTGGTAGATGTGGGAGTAGAGAGATGGGACGGAGGGGTGGATCGGTGGTGGAACGCTGGAGAACGAGTTAACTGGATGTCGATGAGTATAGAAACTTTTGAGATTGCAAGGACCTTTTGTCAATTTTTTAAATTTACAAATTTATAATTTCTTGATTCACTAAGTTTTGAAATTTACAAATTGGTGAATCTCTTAATTTCTAAATTTCTACATTTCTAAATCTTCACATCCCCAAATTCTCACAGCGTCAAATCTTCACATCCCCAAATTTCTACGTCTCCAAATCCTCACATCTCCAAATTCCTACGCTCCCAAATTCTCACATCTCCAAATTCCTGCGTTCCCAAATTCCTACGCCCCCAAATTCTCACATCTCCAAATTCCTACGTCTCCAAATTCCTACGCCCCAAAATTCTCACATCCCCAAATTCCTACGCCCCCAAATTCTCACATCTCCAAATTCCTACGTCCCCAAATTCCTACGCTCCCAAATTCTCACATCTCCAAATTCCTACGCCCCCAAATTCCTACGTTCTCAAATTCTCACGTCCCCAAATTCCCACATCCCCAAATTTTCACATCCCCAAATCCTCACATCTCCAAATTCTCACATCCCCAAATTCTCACATCCCCAAATCCTCACATCTCCAAATTCTCACATCCCCAAATCCTCACATCCACAAATTCTCACATCCTCAAATTCTTACATCCCCAAATTCTCACATCCCTAAATTCTCACATCCACAAATTCTCATATCCCCAAATTCTCACATCTCCTACATCCCCAAATCCTCACATCCCCAAATTCCTACATCCCTAAATCCCCACATCCCCAAATCCTCCTAAGTTCTCAAACTTCCCAAAATAGTAAAATAATGTCTTCAGCGAGCACTTCATCCACCCATCACTGATCTGAACCTACGAAACATCTCTCAACCCCTTCATAAATATTAATATTATACTTGCCATAATTCTCGCTATATATAATAGCAATATTTAACGAAGAATTGTAGTTATAAAATTTGAATGCAAGTTGAACGTAACGCACGGATATGTTCTTTCCTTCGTTCAGATCCCCATGGTCGAACGAAAACCGAACAGCGACAATAAAAATTCAGTGGTCTTCTCTTTGAAAAATCAAGTTGGCGGTTTGGCGCGAGCACTACAGGTGTTCCAGGTACAAGACTATTGTATAAAGATTACTTTTTTCAAAGATTTTAATGACTCTTTATGACTGTTTTTTGATAGCGATTATTAGTACTGATTTTATTAACATGGTAATTCTTTTTAACATTCGTATTAATTAAAAGAGCTTCAAGTTATTTACTTGATTTTAATTTTATCTTTTCAACTTGTGTTTTTCCCATTAAAATATAATCGTTCATTTGTTTGTTCCTACCCAAAGAGTTTTTTTAGTTTAAAAGAGATTTGAAGAGTACTATTATGCAAAGATTTTGTTGAGAAGAAGCATTTTAATGTAAATTTTGTACGAAGGACCTCGGTGTAAACGTGGTTCATATCGAGTCGCGTAAATCGTTGCGTCGCGGTTCGGAATACGAAATTCTGGTGGACGTTGAATGCGACTCAAAAAGGATGGAACAGTTGACAAGAATGTTGAGCCGCGAAGTCGCAGCGATTAATTTGGCACAATACGAACAAATGGGAACTATTCCTCATGCTCCGTCGCTGTCCGCCGCTGCGAGTTTCGGTAAGTTCGACACCTTTCTATTTCTTTAACACTAGGTTTACGGACATTTACTATCTCTACACGCGTCAATTTGACGCAAGAACGAATACATTTAAAGAAAAACAACCATTTAGAATATAATTAAACACTAAAAGTAAGAAATGAAAATATGAGATATTTATAGAAAGTTTTTATTATTCAATGATATTTTAGTACATTACTTCGATATTCTACATTCATATTTTTACTTCCCTCTACCCTACGAACTGCGATTTGTACTGCGACCCGGGTCCGAACCCGGCATACGGCTGAGCCGGCCGCGTGCGACCCCGGACTAGCGAAGTCCGTCGTTTATAAGGTATTGTCGGTGCATTCATATTTATTATTGTTGTAATTTTTGCCTGGGTAAAACTAATTTACTAAAAATTTTATTTACATTACGATCGCGTGAAATTGACGCACATCCGTAGAGATAGGACCACGTAGCAAATTTCAATATTTCAAAGCTTTCGAAGAAAATAGACCTCAATATATATTTACCTCGTTCAATGGATAAAAGTCAATACAATAAAAAGCGAACGGCTTTTGTAATTTTCTTAAAGAAATTCGAAATGCGTCAAAATAATGCGTCCTGGAAACCTAGTGTTAAACACCTCGAACTCTGACAACCGTATTGAAATTACGGATACAGAATCTTGTCTGAATGGACTTTGCAGATTTCAGCGAGGTAGACATGCCGTGGTTCCCACGAAAAATAAGTGACCTTGATCAAGCTCAGAAAGTGCTCATGTATGGGTCTGAATTAGACGCAGATCATCCTGTACGTTTTTCATGCTAGTTAAAATTTTATAATTTGCAGATAATTTACAAATTCATGATTTATAGTATTCTACATAATTTACAATTAGAAAAATTTTCTTTTTCTTGATAATCAGATTTAAAATTATTTACTTAATCTTTCTCTACTTTTAATAACATAGAAAATTATTTAGACTTATGTGGAGCACCTCTGTATATTAATTTTATGGACGCTATTTAACTATGTATTTTTAAACATTTTAGGGCTTCAAAGATCCTGTATATCGCAAACGTCGTGTACAATTCGCTGACATTGCAAACAGCTATCGATAGTACGTGAGAAATAAACTTCTTTCAAAATAATTGAGAATATACAAAAATTAAACGATTGTGTACGTAAGAAATTATATTTTCAGTGGACAACCGATTCCTCGAGTTCAGTACACTCCGGAAGAAATCAGAACATGGTTTGTAAAATTATACTACAATACAGAATATAAGAAATTTGTTTAAAATCTTGTTAACAATTTAGAAATTTTTTAATTTGAATTTTAGAGTGCTGTCTTAAATCCTTATTTGTAACTAATATAAATTTCTTTCTGTTTTATTCAATTATATTATTTCAACCCTTGTCACAAAACAACTATTGTTCTAATATTAACGTTCTGTTAGTTTCTGTATGTCCTTCATTTTTAATTATTCATTTACTCATTTCCTTTTATATTTACTTGCATTTTGAAGTACAATATTAATCATCAATAATAAATGAGTAATACTTATAATACATCTTGCAAAATATTGTATTTAACAAAAAGTAGCAAAATGCAAGAAATCTTGATTCTCCGCTCGTTACAAGAAAACCCAGTACGTGCTCTAAAGGATGTGAAGGCAATCTGTAACGAAGATTCTTTCGATATCGTCTCAAGTTTTTCCTTCGATTACGAAACAGTTTCTGAGCCTTGCCAATACAAAACGAAGAGTTTTCCTTCCACCTTCCTTCGTGACGTGTGAACAAGCAGAGGTTGGCTCGCATTGAATGCACCCCTTAATTGTCCTTATTCGATTTATCCTCACGATCTTCGAGTGACTTCCCTAATCCAATTCCCGGTGGATGCAATGGAAGTGTGGATAAATAAATTCGTGGATATCTGAGATACTCATCTTTGAACAAGACTTTCAACAATTTGATATTTTGATATTTTTGATATTTTGATATTTTGATATTTTGATACTTTGATACTTTGATACTTTGATACTTTGATACTTTGATACTTTGGTACTTTGGTACTTTGATACTTTGATACTTTGATACTTTGATACTTTGATATTTCCATATTTTCATATTTTCATACTTTGATACTTTGATACTTTGGTACTTTGATACTTTGATGCTTTGATATTTTCATATTTTCATACTTTGATACTTTGATACTTTGATATTTTCATATTTTCATACTTTGATACTTTGATACTTTGATATTTTCATATTTTTATATTTTTTAATAATTTTTATGAACATCTAGGGGAACCGTCTTCCGTGAATTACATCAGCTCTATCAAAAGCACGCTTGCAAGGAATATTTGGAGAACTGGCCAAAACTTGTGAAGTACTGTGGCTACAGGTAAAGATCCTTGTTCTAAAATGAATGATGCTCAATAAGAAGTAATTAATCAACCAGAAGTGAAGTAATATATTTAATGTTTAATAGGGAAGATAACATACCGCAGTTACAAGATGTAAACACTTTTCTGAAACGTGAGTAGTGAATCAATGATACATTGTTAAAGATCGAAACTATGAGTGAAAGTTATTATAAATTATCAGGAACCACTGGATTTCAACTTCGACCCGTGGCTGGCTATCTTTCACCCAGAGATTTTTTAGCTGGCCTTGCGTTTCGCGTGTTTCATTGCACGCAATATATTCGACACTCTTCGGATCCATTTTACACGCCCGAACCGTGAGTGTTCCGATATTACGACAGAATTTAATTTGATAAAATACTGTGTTGGACTATTTGTTCATTCTTTTGTTTCGGTGCTGCGGTTAAAAATTCGGGAATTTAGAAAATTGAAAGTTTGGGAATTTAGCAAGCTTGAAATTTGGAAATTTAGGAAGTAATGAATTTAGAAATTTGGCCATTTAGAAAAATAAAAAATCAGAAATCTAGCAATCTGAGAATCTGAAAATTTAAAAAATAAATTTAAGAACTTAGACATCCAGAATCCTAACAACCTGAAAATTTAGAAAATTAAAAAATTATTAATACAAAATAATACAGTAAAATAACCAAAATAGTTGAATAAATTTCTTGTAGATTCCTTAAATCCTACTTTACTTCGATTTACCGTTTCCTGTTCCTGACTTACAAATTATTTACAGGGACTGTTGTCACGAATTGTTAGGCCACATGCCGCTTCTAGCGAATCCAAGTTTCGCTCAATTCTCTCAAGAACTTGGACTGGCCTCCCTGGGAGCCTCGGACGAGGACATCAATAAATTGGCAACTGTAAGTGTACCGTGTTCAAGACACATTTCCTGGTCTCATAAAAACTTTAAAAAAATTTATCCGAACCAGAATTGCGTTAACAAAGAAGAATATTCCGTTACGTATCTTTCTCCACAGTTGTATTTCTTCACGGTGGAATTTGGATTATGCAAACAGGACGGAGTACTCCGCGTTTATGGGGCAGGTTTACTGTCCTCTGTCGCGGAACTGAAACACGCTGTTTCTGCCCCCGAGAAAACTTTTCGATTCGAGCCGGAAATTACTTGCAAACAGGAATGCATCATCACTGCGTTCCAAAACGCCTATTATTACACGGACAGTTTCGAGGAAGCTAAAGAAAAAATGCGGTATGTTAATTTAAAATTCTTTTTATAAAATATAATTAAATGCATACTTAATAAATTTATATTATGTACTAATGATACTTACAATTTTTTAATGACAATATTTTATGTGGGTAGTGACAATACATTATATTTTTAGGTCGTTTGCAAATCAGATACAACGTCCGTTTGGGTTACGTTACAATCCCTACACACAATCGGTAGAGGTTCTCACAGACGCTCAAAAGATTACGGCGGTGGTCAGTGAACTTAGGGGTGATCTCTGTATCGTCTCGAACGCTCTTAGAAAGATACACGAGCAGGATGATACGGTGGACGTTGAAAGGATAACCAGTCTTTTAACGCAAGGTATCGAGTTGCCTCAAGATACCTCCTCTTCTGATAGCGATATCGATAAAAGCCCTAATGTCGAAGCGCCTCAAAACCCGGTTGAAGGTCAGGAATATTCTGATGGTAACATAATCAGTGCACAAGATTAAATAGAGCTCCCAGCGATTAGAATGTTATGTGCGTTATTTAGTATTAGTTGAGAACGTAGTTCTTGAAACTTTCATCGAACCTCTGTAATGTATGCTTACAGTTAGAATTTATGCTTATAGAAAATTTGACTAGAAAATTACTGTGCAGATATTATGTTATGTAAAAAAGGAATAAATAAGAAATTGTAGATGGCATAATAATCGTATTGTATTTATCCTTCCTTTTAATTTATCCTTCCTCCTAATTTATCGTTCCTCCTCTTTTTTTCTGTAATAACAATGATGGCGCGAAAACTTTTCATCGAGAATAAATAAGAGTCACATGCATACCAACTACCGATAAACTTCTAAAAAACGATTCTTTAGGAACAGTTTCTATGAGAAAAATAACTGTAGTATGTTCTAGATTTGCTCATACTGATTCGACACACCTGTCTCATCGCTGTATTCGCATATATATATACACATTGCTATACATATTGTACACATATGTATAGTTGCATACACACGAATGAAAGTTTAAGAGGTTATCTGAGAAGAAAAGTAAATTTTGTTGACAAGAAGTGAAAGACAAAATGTATCTAAAATGCGTTAAACGTATTTATATTTAACACGAATAACTCTTCTGATAAATTGTAAATACGTATTAATAAATGTCGAGTATAGAAAAAAACGTCTGTTCAATAAGTTAAAGTAATGGTTAACTAAAAAAAATGATTGATGAAACAAACATTCCTTGAAAAGACAATGTACCTTCCATTATCAGGAAGGTAATGTATTAGTTTTAGTATCTAAATGAACACATGTTGTCTTAATAACTGTACTTTAAGTATATTTGTTTATAAACATGGCGCAAATACAAACTTCTGCCATCGATGGATTGCCAAAACATTTTGTCAGTGCCATGCGTACACTTTTTGACATAATGGATGATCAAAATACTGGCTTTGTCAAGTTCTCGGATATTGAAGGCAGATGGCAAGATGATGGAACACAGGGCCTTCCGAAAGGTGTTTTAGATAGCCTCAAGAAAGTTACACCATCTAATGGTTTACTATCCTTTGAAAGGTTTTGCACAGGGCTTAAAATATGTTTACTGCAAATTCAAGCAGACTCTGATTCTAAGAAACATGATGGTCAACCAAATAGACCACCATCTGCTCCAATTCTTATACCTGATAGTCAAAACAAGACAACATGGACATCCCCAAACACTGCGACTATTAGACCAAATAATGCTATATCTCAGCAACGTACTTTAAGTATGCCACAGTTATTAGCAGGTCGAAAAGAAACTAATCATGGACAATTAGAACTAATTGATAGTAGAAATGGAACAGAAGCTAAACTAAGTAAAGCGTACGGACCTCCAAAACCTCCAAGAACAGGTGCTGCCTTAGAAGCTAGGACTACTAATTCTGATAGAAATTTTGATAAATCTGAGATTCGAACTGTATTGCAAAACTGGCAAATGGGTTTGTTAATGAATGATGATAAGGCTATAGAAAAACGGCAATTACCAGCAGTAAACTATAGAACAGATGCTAGAACACTGTTAAGACCAACCCGAATATTGGGAGATGGTAAAGCAGTTGAGCTACAAAATAATCAAGTTAGTCTGCAACCTAAAAAACCGTTGAATCGTCGCAGAGAACCTAGACGCCATACGTTGCAGAATGGTATTGATTACAATATGGTAAAGATGTTCTCTTCTAGGATTCCCAACTAACGATTGGTAATTGGTTTTGGGTATGCATGAAATTTGGTGACTATTAACATGTAGATAGTAGAAAAATTCTTATGCTTAATATTAGTCAACTTATCATATAACATGCTTTTATAATACTTGGACAAATTATATCAGTTGGGAAACCTGTTTTCTTATTCCTAGTAAAAGAAACTATTTGATAATATTTTTTATTTACAGATGAAAAGAATGAAGCAAATTGAACAGGAGAAAGATGTACTGCTACAAGGTTTGGCTGCAGTAGATAAAGCTAGAGAATGGTATTTAAAACAAATCTCTGCTACTCAAGAAAAAATTAAACATCTTGGTCGTATGGGATCTCATGTGGTATTGAAGCTATTTATGATTCTATAAAATTGTTTTAAATTCTCTTTACTAATGTATATGTTTTATATTTTAGGAGCAGTGGACAGAAGCACAGCAAGAACGTTTAGAATTACAACGAGCACGGGTATTGGAAGTTAATAGACATTTAGCTGCATTAATAAGCAGTTGGGAACGTGGTGGACTTCCCCTTCATATGAATCTTGCCTTCCTTAGTGCTCCAACATCAACGCAACTTCAGCAGGATATGTTATCTAGGCTGAAACAGCAAAATCATAGACTTACAGAGGTAAGTGAATGATAAATAAATGTTACATTAATAAGAGTCATAGTTAACTTATTTGTGATTCTTAAAAATTTAGGAAGTCAGTAAAAAAAGTCAACGAATAACAATACTTGAACAAGAAAAAGACAATTTGGTCAGAGAATTGTATAACAGACAAAGCGGTATGGTTCAGTCTCGAAGAGCAACGATGATTCATGAACAACATGATCAAACATTCATGTAAGGTACTAACAGTTATTATTTTAATATCATTATATATAGTGCTAAGTTATATTATATATAAACCTTGTTTTGCAGAATATAAAAATAACCAACTATCATGAAGAGGATACGTAATGACGTATTACGAAGATACCAATTTTTATGCAAAGCATAGGTATTAAAAATACTAATTAAAACAATTGTTACATTTGGATTTCAGGTTATGTTTATAAAGTATTTGTCAAATACTTAATTCCTAGGTCCATGGTTAAATATTCTAGCATTGCTAGTACTTGAATTTAGTTACATAATGTAAACAAAGTGCCTTAAAAGTTTTATAATCCGTCCACGAATCAAAAGACTATGTTTTTTTCAATAAATTATTATTCTAACTAATAAACCGCCTTGACCCAATTTTTAATTTCACGATATCATAATCTTTGCTCTTAAAATTCAATAATTCCGCATTCCATACTTACTTATCTTATAAATAACAATATTTAAAAGAAAGCTGCACAAATTGTGCACAATCCTTCCAGTAGATGTGAGCCGTATCAACTTCCGGAATTATGACCGTACATGTCAAATGTTATCGAACTTTAAAACGTGATAATATATTTCCCTCACCGTTCAGCGCTTCTATATATATCAAATTTGCCGAGAAAAAAGATAAGGCGCCAAATATATTTAATCCTATTACAAAATCTATTATATTTAATACACACCAAAATACATTTTATTATAAAACGTTTAATAACTTCTGTTTAATTATTTTTAAATATTAAAAAGAAATATAATTAAATTTCAAAACTTAACAATTTCTATTTACCATGTGGTTTATTACTGGAGAACTTTGTAGAATATTACAATTATTTAAATTTAGAAATTTAGAGACACGAAAATTAAAAAATCTAAATATTTATAAATTTATAAATTGGAAAATTAAGAATTAAAAAAATTTAACAATCAGAATTTGAAAATTTGTGAATTTGTAATTTAAAAAAATGTATAGTAGCATTAAAGAAGATGAAAATGTCTTACAATTAATTCTGAAATGTTACAAATAATTAACATTGTACGATAATTCCTATAGAAGCTCTACATAAAAAATCGATATCCAACATCAATAATGAAAACTTCTTACTGGTCCACCCTGTATATAAGAGTCGTGTAACAAACGGCCGTTTTTACACCCCACGCATGGTTTCTTGGTTCACAGCAGAGTCCGATGGGCATCCTAACTAAGCTAAAGCGCGTTAGTCTGTACAAACATTTAGTTAATAGTCGTGAAGAGGCAGTTGCCTCCGGCTGCCTGGCTTCGGCGGTTCAGTTTGGTCAGCGCTCTCAACGAGGAGAGTTGTTCGTTGGAATCGGGGGCTTATTGCACCGAACAACGAATTTTTATCCTCACGATAGTGAACGTGTAAAGAACCCCTTTTGAACGCTCGACCTTTGACTCTATAGAGTTGAAGCAAAAGCCCTAACTGCAGGCGCCGGTCGTCGCTCTCTGTCTTCGAACTTCTCTGCGATTATCTGGATTATCGTTATCAGAACACTTCTCCTCTGGACTGCGTACAAGATTTTAAACCCATCATGCTACCTCGATTGGTATCACCAATAATTCTGCTACTTGTACTTATAGGTATGAACACCCTTTTCTTCTTTTTTTTTGCGCTTCATTTTAGCGTTGAACTCTTTTTTTAAACTAAAGCGCTATTAACAATACTGAGAGATTACATTGAATTCGTAAATCGTTTTCTACTAATACAATTTTTGAGAAATTTAACTTTGAAAAGATTGAAATTTTTAAATTTGCATATTTTGTTTAAATAATAATTTTTGTGCAAACATCTCTTAATAATCTCTTTGATATAAAAATGTTTTTAAAATTACATTGTGACTATTATGGTTTCTTTAATTCGCGATGTTAATTCATTCAGAGGAAAATAAATCAGAATGGTTTATTTGAAAGAAACGTCTCGGTTCATTCACCGAGTGGTCAGATAACGTGTCTTGATAAGAGAGTATACTTTCGATGATGCACAACATTTCGCATCTCCCCTAAACTGATTTTACTTCGTCGAAGATCGTTTATAATTAACTACGATTTCACTGATAAGAGAAAAACTTAGCAACAATGATAAAGGTACAATAGAATAATAGAATTTACGCTCAAAATTCAATTAACCCACGCAATCGTACTTTATCTCGTTAAACATTTATCAATTTGGACAAGTGGGAAGTGCAATGAACATATCCGGTACAAATACTTGCCTCCGGCAAGTTTCATTATCTCTTTAGGGTAAATAAACTGCAGATACGTTCACTAGATATATATTTATATATATAGAACGTTCAATGAAGAAAACGTTCACAGAAGTTAATATAATTTCATTGAGACTGCTTGTTAATTTAAACAAGTTCATTTGCTCTTCTCTGATATATTCCATAAAAAAGAAAGTTCAACTATTCGTAAAATTATTTTAATTCCAACGAGTTTATATTTATGATAACAGGTACACTGTCACGGGCCTGTGATTTGGATCAAATGCAATATGGATGTCGTATTTACAACGCACAATGCAGGTGCGGTTACGGATGTTCCGCCGAATACAGATATAATAATAATGAAGACTGCAAAGAAGCTTTAAGAGGTACCAACTTACCTAATTTAATTCACATTAGAAGCAGCAATATTTTCCACTAATTCCAGGAAATATACCATCTTCAAGATTTTATATTATAAATAAAAATACATGCATTACTACTCACGCGATATCGCGTGCTAGTGTTCAATAAAATTGATCTATGTAAAAACGTTTGTACGTTTTGTAAAATTTTGCGGATATAAAATAATTATTATTTGTAAGAGAAATGACTAACGTCGATAGGAGCACCCTGTATACAAGGTACCTTTTTATTACTGTTAAATAATAATCATACCTTTGCAGGTAGACGTGGGGACATATGCTACAGGTCAAAACCTTGCTTGAACGGCGGATCATGCTTGCAAATATCATCGGACCCTGGGTATAAATGTCGTTGCGAAGGTACTGGTTACTACGGATCACATTGTGACAAACGTAAGTGATTCAAATTTCATTTCCCAAATTTGTAAACTTCTAAAAATTATTTGTAGAGGACCTGCCTCCTCTAAAAATCCTAGTCACACAATTAAATTTTATCAAGAATAAAATATATAAAACATTGAGAAAAACCTATCTAATGAAACAATTATATTTTACAGCTTGCCCAGGGCCAAATAATAACCAACGCTTTAGAGGACCGTTTCCTTACGAGTGCGTTATAATTTGATCTGCAACGTTTATCTTCTCATCTATCCGAAATCAAATACATTCAGTATGTTAAGTACAAAAAATAAACATATTCTGCGGTAATTTACACATCTTTGTACATACATAATAAACATATTGTATATATCATAATCCTGTTGTTAGTAAAAAAAAAATTATTGTTAATATACGCTACATTGCACGAGATTAATTGAAAATAATATTTATTTAAAAAAAAGAAAATATTCGATACACGTTGTACATGTCCTAAAAAATTCATTGAAAAAGATACGTGTTTAATAGTTTCATTATTTATTCATCAATAATTTTACAATATGTATGCACATGATGTGTTGGATTCATGAATTATTTTCCGACAGACATTTAGTTTGTATCGTGCTTGTGTTAATGCCCGTTATCATTTTACTCTTTTCGTCTATTCCTAAACAATTTATATCTTGTTTTTGCTATTTTTCTGATGGCAAAACTTATAAAATGCGATTCCTTTACTTTTCACGTAAGTACTTTTTGTTATCCTTTTATGCATATTATATTATCGACTTGAATCGGTAATACTCTAGTTTGATTTTAGAACGCGCGACTGCATCAGGAACTTAACGACATGTATGTGTATATATATATATATAATATATATATTTATTTATTTATATATTATATATCATCTAGGACAAACAATTGGCCAAGTTATAATTTTTTTTTTACAAATTCAGAGGCATTTTTTTTTTCTTTTTTTTGTTTCAACATAGTGACATATTACAATGATTTATATAGTAAAATACATGTCTGCTTTTTCGATTATAAAATTATGTAAATTCACAAGTTTCAACAAGTTTGATTACGTGACCAATTACAACAAAATTATAAATTTTGTTATCTATTATACATTTTAACTGATCGTCGTGTACATTACAGGTAAAACAAATATTCTAAAGAAAATAATATAAATAAAAAATTGTATCAACATTTACGTATATTTTTATAAACACAGATGGGACATTAAACATTACAAACAGGCAGGTTGTCAACAGTATAATAGTAAATTCTTTTTTTTTTTTCAATCCGTAACTGCGTTTATAATAAATCGAATGAAGGAAATGCGTGTAAAATTTTTATTGAAAAAAGTATATATATGTATATAGTAATTAGAAGTTTCAGTAATATTTTGCAACTATTGTTGATAATTACAAAAGTTCGTTACACATTTTTTTTTCAAAGAAAGGAACAAAACATTTGGTAATTTTTTTAGAGAAATCAAAGTAATTCGGACAAACTGCCTTCTTGATTATTTTCATATTGTATAAAGATGATAAAATGACTCGTTGTTTTTCTGTTGTTTATTTTTATATTCTTCTGTTTCTCAACAAGATCATGATCCAATCGACTGATTATTATCAATGTTATTATTGCTGTCATATTAGTTTCAATTTGGCAAATGTTTACGATGCTTATAATAATAATAATCTCGGTACCGAAGTGTATGGACTAAAAACAAGTAATGTAGATTACAATTTGGATAAGCAGTAACCATTTCAATACGACATTACTCTTGGATGGCACCAGAGGTATGCTGGGATCTTTCCTGACTAAATCCACGCGTGCCGTCTGGACCTCTTGGTTGTCTAACTATGGTTAATTTAGGACCTGTGTCTTCCAATGATGTAGTACGTAATCGACTGATTAAGCGTTCCGGTCGTTGTTGACCTGCATCGCTGTATCAAAAATAAAATTAAAAAATCTGTTAATTACTCTAACGAATGTTGTTAAAAAGATAATGGTACTTATGCGTAATAAGTTAATAAGTATATCAGTTTTATTACTATGGATACCTTGAGACATGTTGAGTATTCTTCGATAAAAAAATATGGCGGTCACAGTTATCTGCTGAGATAGAATTTTTATGAATACTAATTTATGAGTAAGTTTATTATACTATATTCTTCTACTATAGCCAATATCCTACTGCATAAATAGCTGCAGTAAAACTTATATAGGGTAGTATATCCAATTGTAATATACTCATTGAGTACTGTTTTTTAAAGAATATTCCTAGTATAATATTAGCTCTGTGGATATTTTCTTTTTAATATGAACATGGATACATTATTATATTAGGTTAGATTGGGTTGGGTTAGCATTAGGTTAAGTCAAGTCTATTCAAGTTACGTTAGGTTAACATAACTCGAGATATCCATAGCAATCAAAATTATATATTTGCGGGATCGGAACCTTTTCATGCACAACAAAAATATATAATAGAAATATATAAATGTGAAATTACCTTAGACGCGTTACATTGCATGCGGATGATTTACCAGTACGTTGATTTGTGATTAAGACGAATTCAACCTGATCCCCTGGTTGAAGTATCGCATGATCTCGAACCTCACTCATGTGGAAGAATAATTTCTTACCCTCATCAACTTCATAAGCAAGAAAACCAAAAAGACCTTTTACTGCGTCCACTGTTGCCCTCCTCTTTTTCCTAACTGCTACAATATTGCAAGCATGGCCTGCCGAGTCAACTTGTAACTGTACAGGATCACCCGCTTGCAGCAACTCGCGTTTGTTAACAAGCCCCATAATTCTGAATTCATATTCCGGTGTATCTTCGTCTTCGTTGGTAGCGTTTATCTTTATCAAGCCAGCATACTCTGCCTGGTCAGGATTTGCACTTCGTAAGGGTCTTATGACCGTTCCATCAAGCACCTCGCTAACTGGTGTTGGCCTAGGAATGCTTCCACGAGGTACCAATTTAACATAATCCGCGGCTACACAACCACCGTTACCTCTACCATTACCAGAACTGATCGTACACTCGATATCAGCTCCTACTTCCAAAGTACTAGCGTCTCCCTCAAAATTACTAAACAATAAAAGTTAGTAACGTATACTAAAGAATAAAATATCAAATAATATTAACTAAGAAATAAGACTTTAATCCATTACCTGAAGTGAAAAAATATTTCTTTATCATGATTTACAGTCTCAATAAAACCAAATCCGTCTTTAAGCGCAGCAATGAAGCCTTGGCAAACTTGACCATTTAACTTTTTGTTGTTACCGTTTTGAGTCTTCTCACCAGAAGAACTCACTATGGATATGTCGACAGCGACAAGTTCTTTATTTCGTTTTACCTGACAGATACTGAACTGAACCTGAAACGTCGATACTTTACACAGATGAATCTATAAATTTACTATACGAACGTATTTTTATATACCTTGTCACCTAATCTTGGAATATTCTTGGGGTCGCAATCTTTGCTGAAGAAAATAACGCTTCTTTGTTGGTTGTCTTTCATGTATCCAATAAGACCGGGCTCAATACCATTTATACCCTGAATTATAGTGCCCAATATATCTTTTTCTATGATCGTTTCAAATTGGACTGTACCAGCTGGTAGATGTTTCAATCTAATTGCACTTTGTCGATTGTTTGAAAATGATGAGGAAGGATCCTATTATAAAAATATTTGTCTGAAATATGTCTCAGAAAAATAAACACGATCTGAAAAAGTATTATTCTTACTTGAATTACTGTGAATTCAACTTCATCTCCTACACTAATTTCTCTATCAACATCCAGAACCTCGTTAAAATGAAAGAAAAGTCGTGCGTCTCGATCTACACAACGAATAAAACCAAATCCATCTTTGAGTGCAGTTATAACACCTTGTTCTCGTCTTTCACCAGATACAGTAAAAGATTCAGGTAGTAGTAATATTTCGGTGGCTCTCTTGAGTTGATCTCTGGTATCTGTAGCAATACGAAATTGGACCCAGTCCCCGTGTCTGCAACATACATCAATCTATGAGTAATCTGATAAGATAAAATAAATTATGGCACTTTAAAAGTACATTCTGTATTTATACAAGTTTTAACTACTTTATGTAACAAGTAGTTTACAAGTAATTTAGGTGAATTATCTTGTATAACTACCTGAGAGTAAAATCTCCTTTTTGATCTTTGTCACCAAACGGGATTTCAACTTCAGAGTGATCTGTATCTCTATATCGAATTCTTCCAGGTAATGGATCATTTTGATGACGAGCTGCAGTACCTCTTTCTAGAGGTTTCAGTACTTGTCCCTTTACTACCTCGTTGCTGACTTCCTCAAAAACGATTGAACCAGGTGGCAGTTTAGTTATATTACAAGCTACCTCCTTTCCCTAAACATATTAAAGGCAATTAAATTTACGTGTACACTAGATACAAAAAGTTGTTTGTATATAAAAAATGTATGTTTACGTTTCGGGTTTGTATTATGAATTCAACATCGTCTCCCAGTTTAAGTTCTTCTTTCATAGATTTAGCTTCGCTAAAGTGGAAGAAAATTTCTTTAACTACATCAGCACGTTCAATAAAGCCAAAATTTTCCTTCATCGAGCATACCACTCCACAATAGCGTACTGGATGTGCGGGATTTTCCAATCTTACGTGACATGCACCCAAATTTCCACTGCAAATGAATTGCAGTACTGTATTAATTCTGCACAATTTTATGTTTTGAAGCAATCTACATACCGTTGATTGGTAGCAATTTGAAATGACACTTTATCGCCAGAACGCAAAGTAACATTCCCTTCAATATCATCTTTTGTATATGGCAGAAAAAAACACTCTCCCCGGTTTTCATAACTGATACGTCCCTGTGAGTCACCGCTTGCTTGTAGTTCTGTTGTTACGAGTCCAATAACTCTTTCCTCGCTTAGCACCTATATTATAAAAATATCTATAAGTTTTCCATTTTTTTCAACAGTTAATTGTAATGTTGTTACATTAAAAGGATTATAGAAATGTTAACTCTCGAATGACAAACTGCTGAGACAATCTATTTCGTTTTCTGTTTTGTTGCATTTAGAAATTTAAGTGCTCAATCTGGGTTGTGATTGACCCAGTTTCACCGTTCGAGAATTAATAATATACTAACCACTTCTGGAGCAATTTTGCTAACTGTACTAGCAATAGGTTTTCCTGTTCTTCGATCATAAGTCATTTCAAATTCAACAGGATCTCCAATTTTCAAATGTTCTATATTACCACTAAATTGGCTAAAATGAAAGAATAATCTTGCTTGTCTTTCGCAGCATTGTATAAATCCATAAGAATGCTAAAATAAAAGAAAAATATTAC